TATGCGCTTAACCCGTCGTGAGGCACGGCATGCACCTTATGCTTGTTTTGCTCATAACTTTCATTTAGAGTAATACTTCCATGTAAAATTTGTGTAAGAGGCTGGCTGAATGTACAAAGACTATAGCCAAATAAGAGTTAAAACACTTTCAGAGGAAAAAAGTGATGTAATCGTCAATTGAATATTATCGAGCGGAAAAAGAGACATCGAATGGCTAACTCCGATTTATTGCTGTTTTAACAAAATATAGCAAAACTGTGCGTTTTGTAGGGAAAACAAATTTTAAACGGTTTCATCGCATTTGTATTTAGTTTGATTGACTTTTCGGACTTTACGGAACCTGTAAAGGGGCCGAAATTTCAATAAAACTAAATACAAACGCGATGAGAACGTAAAAAAGGTTTGCAATTTAAAGTAAAATTTTTTGTGGTAAACCACATTTATCGATATACACAACTTATTACAGACAACTCTAGCAACTAAAGACGGGTGCCCAGTGGTCCGGCTCTTGGAGCCAAATTGATTTATTCCTCCATATGAAAATTGCGTCCCGAGTATTCCTAATATTGTATCCAGAATACGCGGAACCCTTGCCCTTTGATCCCGGATAAGTTCGGTTTTTGTTTATGGTGGGATTAAAAAAGCTCTTTGAGGAATACCTCCGTACGCAGGCCTCGATATTTTTTATTTACATAATTTTTCCTCGAGTCTAGTTTTGTAAGTTGTTTTTATGGAATAGACCAAAAAATTTCGCGTCTTTTATAAATGGTCTTAGTATACATATACTATATACATATACGAGGGTCAAACTGAAAGTTCTTAGAAAATTAAAAACTGATTACATTAGCCAGTTATTAGTTTTATTATATCTTTTCAAAATATTGTCCATTCACGTCAATACACCGCTGCATGCGATGGAACCACTGGGAAAAGCACTTTGCCCACTCGTCCTTAGGGGTCTCTTCAATGGCATCGCGATACGCAGCCACCGCTTCTTCAGCATTCATAAACCGCTTTCCTATAAGTTTTTCTTTAATTTTTGGAAATAAATAAAAATCACAAGGCGCGAGGTCGGGGCTATACGGCGGGTGACCCAGTAATTCAACGTTTGATGTCGCCAAATAGTCGATCGTTCGCTTGGCGGTGTGCGACGAGGCGTTGTCGTGGTGAAGGAGGATCCTACTGCGAGGTCGTTTCTCTCGAACTTTTTCCAAGACAAGTGGCAAACAATTGGTAGTGTACCATTCTGCAGAAACTGTTTTTTGATCCTCTAACACAATTGTTGCAAAATGACCTATCCTTCCAAAGAACGAGGCCACCATTTTTTTTCCCGCAATTCGATCTCTCTTTACTTTAGTTGGCAACTCCTCGAAAGGAAACACCCACTGAGCAGATTGTCTTTTGGTTTTAGGATCATAACAGTAAATCCAGCTTTCGTCACCTGTTAGTATGTCGAACACAGCATTTGAGTCACCTCCGTTAAATCTTTCAATCATTTTACGACACCAATCCACACGATGGAGTTTTTGAGCCTCAGTCAAATTATGAGGTATCCACCGGGCGCAAAGCTTCCTGACCGCTAAATGTTCGTGGAGGATTTTGTGCACTTGACTCATACCGATGCCTAAGCTTGTCCGAATCTGTTGATAGGTCACTCTTTTGTCAGTCTCTATCATACGCCGCACAACACAGATGTTATCTTCAGTCGTCGCCGTAGAAGGCCGTCCCTCACGTAAATCATCAGTGAGATTAGTGCGACCACGTTTAAACTCATTAAACCAGTTGTAAACAGTCGCACGAGATGGGGCTTCATCGTGAAAGGCCAATCGTAGTCTATCATAACTTTCTTGTTGACTTAAATGACATCGAAAGTCATAAAAAATCATTGCACGAAAATTTTCTCGTGTTAAATTCATGATGACGTGACACAGACAATTTTCAATTTGCCGCCAAATCGTAAAACAAATGACAAATGAATGAAATATATACTCAGTAATATTGGCAAAGAGTTATATTTTCAAATTTTAGAATTATTTTTTTATTATATTGTTTATAAGTGGCCAGTTCTAAGAACTTTCAGTTTGACCCTCGTACTATGTATAATTTGACTTTAAATTCTATTTTCCATTTCTTAAGAATTTATTTTCGACATTTGCTTCGAAGATTTACAGTAAAAAAAAATACAATTAATATCTATAAATAAATCCAAAACCCTTCAGGTGGTTGAAGTACTTAAAGTGCTGGCGCACATGAGGTGTGCTTTTAGATCCACTTGTCGTGTGCTATTTTCGTCAATAAGTACTGGATGGGACGTTTTGAGAGGCACACTGAAAGCTAAACAAACAAACAGAATTCAACCGTTATTTTGATATAAAGAGATTGGTGTATTATATAGTTCATTGGCGTAGTGGCCCGCGATCGGTATTGTTAAGCACCTTTCGCAATGATCGGTCACGGGATGGGTGACCATTTTTTTGTTTTTATCTCGAGCTGAGCCTGAGCCTCTGCAGTGGGGGGATACGAAATTCAGCAAGGAACTTGCCAGAATAATCAAATAAAATTTGAAATGCATTGTTCTTGTATAAAATTGTTAATAATAGGATTGATTGTATACCTTTGTTAGATAAAATTGGATTTAAAATTCCCGCGTCGACTCACGTTCCAGAATACCTTTTATATTTCAATTTTAAATACTAACTACGCTAAAAAAAATTTAAGGCGTTCTCTTGATGAATTTATCATATAATATATATATATATATATATATATATATATATATATATATATATATATATATATGAGCCGTCGATTAAAATATAAACTGTTAAATCTATATAGAGAGAAACATATAAAAATCGAAAACCTCCTAAGAAGAATAAGTTCTTAGGTTTTCGATTTTTATATGTATATCTCACGATACCTCCGTCAGTAGCGGACCGATTCTGATGATTCTGGTTGTGTTTGAATGAATATTTTTTCGAGGGGGTACTATTAAATAGTACCCTCTCGAGAAAATTAAATTTTGATGTTATCTAACGGGTGAGTTTTGGTTTAAAAATGAAATAATTGTAAAACCGCGTCGTTTTAAATTATCTTGATCAAAATAACTTAAACAATAAAAAAGTATTTTTTTTGTAAACTAAAATCAACTTTAAAGAATCGTGAAATTCTTTTCTTTTTTGATACTACATATAAGTTGGTTTACAAATTTAATAAACTATTGGAGTCTTATAGTAAAAATCATGCATATATGCAAGTGAGCATGTTTATTAATCCCTCATTAATATTTAAATGAAAATTATTGAATTTTTTAATCGCCTTCAGTCGATTTTTCGGAGTCTATTTTTTATATTAATACTTAATAATATTTTAAATTAAATTAAAAGCGTTACACGCATAATAACATGAATTTATTACGTTTTTTTTGTAGGTAGCAGTTGATTAAGTAAGGTGTTATTATAGCTAATAAATTTACATTTTTTAATAAAAACATTGGCCTTTACAACAGAAAATGCTTCATCTCTAAAATCAACAAACAATACATGCATTATCAAACAAAATATGACTCAAAGCTTTTGAGAAATTTGTAGTGTATATTGTGAAGTCTGTATTTCACCTACAATTTTAAATATTAGGTATTAGAAATAAATAAAAAATCTGTGAGCGCCAAACAATTTTTATGTTACGATTTTATAGTATTTTTATTTCTACATCACATCACAAACAAGCGAACCTAAAGTTATTTCGTGTCCGAAAGATCGTAAATAGAGTGGCGTGTAATTTTTAGTGAGCGTCCCGCTCGACGGCAGTAAAGAGTTGATTTACGAGCGCTCGATATGGATCGAGCTGGCGAACGATATTTCAGAATCGGACCCCATATAAGACCACTTGTTATTGTAATGAGATTTATACATCACTGAAATAAGTTGCCTTTGGATAGTTTATTACAGTTTTTGATCAAACGGATAGGAACTTAGTGTATTCTTATACCAAATAGCATTATAGTTTTCAGTGAAGGTGGTGGATCCTATACTCGGGTGTATATATCGTTATAAAAACATATTTACCACCAACGTTCTAATGTTTCTATGGAATATAATAATATTAATATGTACATAACTGTTCTATGTATAATACTCCTAGTAATTGTGAGTTTGAACTGTCTATAGTTATGGTCAATCTTTTAAATGTCAATAAAAGTTAATTTAAATTATAAACAAATTAACCATTCATGACAATATTCTATATGACTTTTGTTATTGTTTCCCAAAATATAGGTTTGATAAACGTTTATTGTCAATGCAGAAAATAAAACTATTGTAATTTGTCTTGGGTCTGCGTATTGGTACCTTTGTCTTAGATATTGCATAAAAGGGCTTTGGTCTTACTAATATTAATATTTCGAATATTTTCTAAGTAGGCCTCCAGCTAGATTCTTATTTACTTTTTTATGTTAATATAATTTGATATAGTCATAAATCTCTGTGTTTGTTTCGCGAACGTCAAACAAACTTACACAACAAGTGCCAGAAGTTGCAATATTTTTTTGAACTACATTCAAAAGAGCAAGAAGAAGTATGAGGTGAAACTTTTTCAATGAACTCGACTAAAAACGCTGACAGAAAGTTGTACGTCCCCAACAAAAGCACTGAGAGCGTCTCCTTGAATACTGATCGAGGGAAGTTGATATTTTGTATATTTATATCAAGTTACCAAATATTTTCACTTTAGATTTTTGTTTTTACTTTATAGAGATTGTTTAAGCAGTGTAAAAATGTAAGTCAAAATTTTCAATGATAGCAAAAAACATTCTTGGAATGCATAATAAAGTGTGAGAATTCAGAACAAGTCGCTGACGTGCAAATTGACGAAAGAAGAAAAAAAAATTGTGAACGTTCGAAAAACAAACGCAAATTGCGCCCCAAAAAGCCGGCGTGCATATACGATTACAACTTACACGGAAAAGTTCACGCGCGAAAACAAGCGACGGGGCTGCGTCGATGCAGAGAGGGACGCTGCACGGCGTCGCGGCGGCAGTCGACCGGCGGACGCCGCGCCAGACGCACGCCGCTCGCGCGCCATGTGACACGCTGCCGGCGCAGACCGCCATGACCGAGGGGGCGGGCAGGCCTAGGCCCGCGCCGCCCCGTAAGCCGGACTCACTGGCTCTCGCGTGGCCACGCTGGGACGATCCGCCACCACCCGCGCCCGAACCGAAACGGCCCGGGCCTTCGCCACTCCGCGATGACTTCGGCGCGTTCAGCCCCTACACACCCCCTAATCCGATACAAGCTGAGCGGCGTCCACGCAGACCGCAGAGTGTTGTGTCTCCTCGGCCCCCGAACGCTCAGCTCGCGCGCCGGCCCCACTCGATCGGTTCTATCGAGGATGAATGGCCCCAAGTTCCTCTGCTGCAGCCGGTGCCACGACGGCCACGGCCCGTCGCGATGTCCACGTTGCCACGCGCGGTCAACCTGCCGTCCTCGAGAAGTGATTACCAATTGCAAAGACCGGCGATTATGACGAACGGTTATGGTGCGGTGCCGCCTTCGACGTCGCGCCGGCTCTCGCTGCCCGGTGGTGTGCAGAATCCGCCGAAGACTTCGGCGACATTCCACGGTCTAGCAGCCCTCATTGGACCGCATCCCTCGCTCGGAACACCGGGCACTCCGAGCACACCGGCGGCGGTGCGGGAAGCCGTCAGACATCTATTGATGCAGCCACGGAATGGCTTTCCTATCATGGATCACAAGTTGTCCCTCTTCATCGAGATCCTGGATGCTCAAGAGAAGTTTTCACAGGTGGGCCTACAGGTGTTTACCAACTTTTTCCTGATTGTTTCAAATCCTAATTCTATTACTTGTTGTTACAAGAGATACTGTAAACGTTGACGCGTCCGTTCGAGTTAACTTTTAGAAGTGTGTCGGCGAAGTTTACGAAGGCTCAATCATCCTGTTTCGTACCGAATTTATAATGTTTACAGAGGATTTATTGAATAATCCTCGGAGTGTGGAATGCGAAGGGGCGGGCGCCGCCAGTACGACGGATTCCGTTTTTAATCCGCTTATAAGTCTAGAAGTAGACAGAATTCGGAGTCACTTAATTCTTTACCCAAACTTTGAACTTACTGAACACGTATTGCGACTTCTAATTTCTTGTCTTTCGGTACATGTGACTGTGTTGCCAAACTTTTTCAATAATCTCAAATAAAACTTTTTATTCGTTATGGTTATTTCGGAATTTTATTTTTATATTAAAAATTGCGAATATCACTGAACTATTCGCAATAAAAATAACGTAATTTACTGTTGACAACTTTTGAATAGAAAATAATTAAAACAATTTTATTGGCGTCATTATAAAATTGGAAATGTTAGAAAACACATATATTACCTATATTTTCTTCTGTCTATTGTGTATCTGTCAAGTCTTTTAGCAGTATCGTCAGCCAAGTAGCAGGTGGTTCTCCCCGTCTCACCAGCTTTACAATGCGGTCATTCGAACGTCTCTGGACATGTTCATTGGATTGGAGACGTCTCTCTTTAACTTTTTCGACATTTTCAAATAAACTATATATTAGTATAATAGTTTTGAAAATTATAATGACATCTATTTCGAGTTTCAATGCATTTTCAGATGTACATTCTTGCAGTTTTTTGTGAAAAGATATATATAAAAATACTTATTTAGACGCACAACACAGAATACAAATAACAAATTATTCGCTACAATCTTAGTCATTTACATATTTTAACTTTTCGTTTATTAACAGTAGAGCAAACTTTTAAAATGTAGAAAACTCATTTTATAAAAGCTCTTCATCTCAGTCTAGTGACTATACGCCTGCTAAAGATCCGGTGTTATAAATTTAATAAAATCACATGCAATTAGTCCCTTATTTTAGTGAATATGTAACATATAAAATTTACTTACCATACGAAACGGCTTGACCTATTATGATGAAATTTTATGTATAATCAGTATTTTTTATATCCATAAGTGATAAGCGTGGTCCACCCCAAATTAATATGGCAAAACACCGTTTACAGGCTCAGCTAGTTTACTATAATATCAAGAATTTAAAACTTTTATCATAAGATCAGTGTATGTATTATGTGGCAAATTGTTTTTAGTTTATTAATCTAAAGTTGATTGTAGATGAAATATATACGTACGTACCGAACGAACTTTGTACTGTTTATAGGGTAAAAGAAAAGTGTTGTTTTTATTACTTTCCTCTCAATTTTATATTTCTACATTTCTACTTGTAATGGCCCTCGTCGGCAGGTTCCGCAGAACGCTCCCTTGGCTCGCTTTTTGTTTTAGTGACAAATTGACAAATTCATCCTCAGCCCTTTTACGTCCCCACTGCAGGGGAACAGGTCTTCCTTGTGGATGGTTGAGGTGGATGGGCTATGACCCTCCACGCTGGCCCAATGCGGATTGGAAACGGCTTAACGTGCCTTCCGAAGCACGAAGTAGCTCGAGATAATAATGTTTTTGGTCACCCATCCCGTGACCGACCCTTGCGAATGTTGCTTAACAACAACGATCGCTGTCCGCGGCGCTTATCCTCTAGGACAAATTGATAGGTACTTTATATGCTATGCTAAATAAAATTGTGCAATTATTTTTAAATCATGACCCATTCTCCCTTATGGGTTCCATCCATAGATGTCTGCGTCCCAGCGCCCCAGTAATGTGCGCGATGACGAAATATTATCTGGTAAAGATACTAAACATAGAGAAAAAAAATGCAAATATGTTTTGTTCATAAATATATATCCCAAGCATTTCTCCATTAACTTAGTATTTAACCAAACACATCTCGTACGCGGTTTCGATACGTTTCCCAATTATTATGAGCTGCAAACTCACTGAAAGAAGCCTCCCCCCGCCACCATCCCATATTGTAGGCTGTATTTCACGGCGGTACCCACTCGACCCGGTTTCCAAAGCTTTTGTTTCGATATGAAAAATTACTGTAACTCTAAAGGTAAGGTTGATATCATTTCGAATTGCTATGTGAATTTGATTAGAGCTTAATTAGAAGAAAATTTATCATTTATATAAAGTAATTAGTATTATATTTACACTGCGATTTATAAAGAGTGATATTTATTTGTTCATTTGCATCGAATAGGCTCTGAAAGTACTTGATGAATTTAAAAAATTCTTCCACTCCGGAAACCTACGCGGGCATATTTACAGCGGTCGAAGTGGGGGGTTAATAACTATATTTAAATTACATATTTCTACAAGTTTAATGTCAATATTGTGATTACAAAATTTATCAAATTAATCAGAACAAATTTGCGTCTTTAGTGTAAGTTATAATTTTTCAAAATAAATTGCCTAAACGACGAAATGTGAAATTCGCTCAATAGCAGCGAAAGTAACAAGAGTCTGAGAAATTTGGCAAATTAGTGAAAATCTCGGGTAGCTCATTCGATAAGAGTTCGATGGCTTCGTCACACATCCCATGACTATCTTTGGCAAAAGCTGCTTAGCATTAATAATTTAAGACTGAATGTGTTGACCGCTATCGAGCGTCATCTTTAAAAAACTTTCTTTTTGTTCAGTTTTTATAAAGAAATTCAATTGTAAGTAGTATAATGTTCTGTATTGTCTTAAGACAAAGCGCATTTCACTTTTCTTTATGTAGCGTTTAAAATAAATATTTCAACGGAATGAGAATTTCGAGACGTTATCTCGTAGACGGTAAGCTACGTGAAACCGTAGCACAACCGTAGCAGCTACGAGTCCCCTACGAGTGTTTGTCTAATGTTGGTTTTAATTTATTATGTTATGTATGACTGGATCCTTTCTACAATGTTAAAACAATGTTGAGACCTTTATTTCAGGTAACTTAAAGTACTTAGTTATTTTAAGTACATTTATAAAACAGTTATTGTGATATTAAATCTAAGAAATCAAATTCTTAACGGAATTAAAATAAGGATGAGCTTTTAATGTTACAGTTTGACTAATGTGTTTTTCTGTTTGTTTGTGATTCGTCAATAGTTAACTGTTCCCAAGTTCCCAAGCGGACTTATTGGGAATCTGCAAAGTAGTTTTTTATACCTGAGGAATTAAAAATTAGTTTTATATTTTTGACGTCGGGTAGTTAAAAGCTCCGCTTTCCGTCCAGCCATCCTTCTGTCTGTCCGTCCGTCTCTCATAAACCGTAATAATTAGTTGAGATTTTCACAGATTATGTATTTCTGTTGTCGCTACAATAATAAATACTAAAAACCAGAATTAAATTAATATATAAGGAGCTTGCATACAATAAACGTGATTGTATTTTTTAGTTTTTCATAGATAATTGTACGGAACTCTTAGTTCGTAAGTCCTAGTCGGACTAGCGAGCACTTTGCCGATTTTTTAAATACTACTTTGGTTTTAGTTTATTTATATAATGTACTAGCTGTGGCCGCGACTTCGTCCACGTGGAAAGTAAGTTACTCCTTATTACATAACTATCTGGTAATGAAAGTCCCATCAAAATCTCGGTTGAGCCGTTTCAGAAATTAATCTGCAAAAACAGACGGTCACAAAAAATGTAAAATAATATATTTTTTATAATAAATGTTGTTTTGGTGCATTCAGTATATCCGTATATATGTGCATTCAGTAAAACCAGTTATTATAACATTACAAACGGACACTCTTATTTTATTTATTTGTATAGATAAAATATCCAAAGTATGCACTCGCCCTTACTGTGTAACACCATTATTGTCAGTGGTGATACATTGATTAACATTATCGACTAATCAAGCGTAATTATTATAATGCGATAACTAATGCTGGTTAGTTATTGAGCTAACGTTAGTTATAGGTTTCAATGAGCGATATATTATATAAATTACTTTGAACGATGATGATTTTGAGCATTATTATTATTATATATTTAGCACACAGTATTTTATATCATAGTCTAAAGTATTTATTACGGTTTAGTTAACAGAACGACTCATAGTCGGGGCTCTTGGGAAAATTTGATTGGTAAAATTTGAACGGGCCCCGACTGTGAGTCGTTCTGATCTGTATTACTTAACAGAATTCTTAACTACTGGGCTTGTTTTTTTTCTTTTAAGTTAATTTTTTCATGTATTTTTTAAAATTCGTTTGTACGCAGTCGGGATTTTGTTTTTCTTTTTTTAATAATATGTATAAATGAAATTTGCTACTCAGTTTTATTAAAATATAAACATAATTTATTCTTTAATTAATTTGTTATTTAATGGTAGGGAAATTCTGCTAATGTAAGCGTAATTATGGAAAGTCAACAGCACTTCAACTCCCATCATTAATGACATAATTCTTGTTATTGGATCACAGAATAATATATATATATATATATCACCAATAATTTAATATTAAATTTTAGGTATCATTATATCTCAACTTATTTGCTTTTGCCATTGCAAAAGCAAATAGATATAAGTTGAGTTATTTTAGGTGCACAGTATCATTTTATCTCAACTAATTTTAAGTTGAGATTCTATTAAGATGCGATTGTTACGTAAAAAATAACAGAATTGAGGGCGGTAGTCTGTCAGAACAAATAATATGGTTAAAAAAATCGTTGTTAATATTTTTGACCTGAATATTGTGTCATAATTTCTGTTCATATGTGAAATAATACAACATTAAAAGAGATCTAAAAAAGTTTCAAATGAAATTGATTTTTACATAAATTTAAAATATTATATTTTCAAATGAATATCCTTAAATAATACATTATTTTCTTAAATACAAAGTTGCTCTTTTTGTTGAATTTTAATTACCTATATTTGTATTCTCACAGTTCACCCTGAGGCTATTCGAAAAACATTAATTTAACGGCACCATTCGGAACACATGTCCGTCGGGTGCCACAAAT